CCTTTTTAATTATGTCCACCCAGTTAACATATTAAATCAACACAGAAACCTGGATTAGTTTATGTTTATGGTAGGGATCATCATCTCCTTCAGGAAGCTTGAGGCTGTTTATCAACCCACAATATTTATTGCATGAAAATAATTTAATAAAGACGACTTTAACTAATAGTACTATGAAAAACAGCAGCAGCAGCATCAACATTGACCCCTTGAATAGTCTCATTGACCACTTTGTTGGGGTGATATTGACACTTTGGGGAATCCTGGTTTATGTCTTGAGGTTTGATGTGAGCCCATGTTGTTTGATTAGTGTATGGTGCAGTATACAGGTCCATTCATTGAACAGGGTAAGTTTGCTAACACAGGGAAAATTTTTGATTCCCTGTGAGATCTATTTTACTTCAGGGCAGAGGTCTCTGCTTTTGATCTGGGGATTTAGGAAGCATAAGAAAAAGGAAATAGTGACAAGGTTGCCTCTGGCTAAGATTAACCAGTATGAAGGGGGAAAAAAGTATATGGAAGCTGGAGCTCCCTTCCATGAAGATATTCTAAATCAGTGTTTCTCAACTTCAACAAATTTAAGAGGGCGGACTTCAACTCTCATGGATGGTACGTATATATACGGCAAGATTTATATAGGTCATTTTTAAATTTTAAGTTGCATGGATTTTAACTCCCAGAATTCCCCAGCCAGCAATATTGGCTGGAGAATTCTGGGAGTTGAAGTCCACACATTCTTAAAGCTGCCGAGGTTGAGAAAATACTGTTTAAATGACCTACTTAAATTTTGCCATGTACTGTACCTGATATCCAGAAAAGGCTTGGGAACCTATCCATGCCCTAAAACAATGATAACCATTTGGCAGATTTCTATCCCTTAACTTTACCTCATTACCAAACAAAAATCATTTTATTTTAATGAGATAAGAGGGAAAGAAGACAAAGATGACTCAGAAAGTTTTTTTTTAAAAGTAAGAGTATTCAGAAATCAAAATGAGATTGCCCTACATTTAATTTTACTTTTTGCTTAGTTCCATTTTTTCATTTTGTCTTTTCTCTTCCCACCTTTGTGTCACTTTGCTAAGTCATTGGCACCATGCCTCTTCTCCTATCCTGTGTCATTAATCCTATATAAGAATATCATAAATTTTCATAACTTATTGATTTTCTAGGGCTTGCATATGTTTGTAACCACATTTGAATGGACCCAGCAAAGAGACTGCTTCAATTTGGATTTTTGTGGCATGAGAAAATGCCTCAGATTCGCAGCTCAGCAAAACAAGCTCTTAGCTGGTTGGAAAGCCTGAAGTGTGAAGCCGCTGTTCAAATTTTACATTCCTAACATGGTTTGAACAAGCCGGTGGTCCACCCAGCAAATGTTGGCAAATTGGCAACTTTAGAGAACTGGTGTGAGATTACAGAGCAGGGTGGAGAGTTTAGCTCAACAATTTGTTCATCCTTAACCTTCTCTTGAAGTTTTGGACCAGGAGGTGGCCCACCTCCTGGTTTAAGTGGAGAAACCCTTCCATGCTGGATCACACTAATTTCTTTGTTCCCTCTGACCCACTGTGCTGCTGATTGGTGGAGCACACAAGATGATGTGTCTAAACCGAACACAAATATTGGATTTTCCACTGTGGTTATAGGCTCCCTACAGTGCCTTTAACCTCTCCTTTTATAGCTTCCAGAAAGTTCTCTTTCATCCCATTGAACTTCAAGAAGGCTGTAGGCAGATGCCAGGTTGCAGGCCACCAAGATGTGGGGGAGCCAGAAATTTTCTTTCAGGGCCCCCCTGAACTGGGGAGCATATTTGAGGACAAACAGAAGCAGAAAAATCCATTTGATCCGTACTTTTTATGTCAATTCACCTAATTATCCTTCGGGTTTCCAGCAGTTTCAGACAGCCAAGGCCAAACGTGAGGAATGATGGGAGCCGTACTTCGGAAACATCTGGAGGGCAACAGATTTTTTCATCTTTATCTCATAATACTAAGTAATTACTTTGTGTGAAAAATATATTCCCCAAGCAATTGAGAACATGGCATCTTTTAGTGAAGGAGACATGTCTTAAAGCCTGCAAATGCATTGTAGAATATCTATTATGTGCCACAGGTGAATTTATTTAACACAGTGTGATCACTGTGAATATCTCATAGGAGGCATATTAGCCAGCAGATGCAAGTTTTGTGCAAAACAAAATATATTGTCTATGGTCGAACATCTCACAAAATCTGGGCCTAATAGGAAAAAGTTGTGGGTGGGGGGAATGGAGGGTCGGGGAGCTCACATAGCGTTTCACAATCCTTCCCCAAATTTATGATTGAATGAATTGATTCCCCCAATTTCTCCAGAGGCAGCAGAAATTCTCCAGTAATTCTTCATGGGTCCTTCAGGAGAGTTCCTTCGAAAAACTGTGTGCCTCAAACTTGGGGACATTAAGCCCTGTGTACTTCAGGTCCCAGAATCCCTCAGCCAGCATTGCTGGCTGGGGAATTCTGGGAGCTGAAGTACACAGGGCTTAAAGTCCCCAAGGTTGAGAAACACTGTTCTAATATCTTTCCTTTTGTATTAGAGTTACATAGGGATGACTTTGTTGGATAAGGAACCTGAAGACTCACTTAGTCATAGCTCCCTCAAGAGCTTTGATCATCCTCCTCTCTCAGTGCGATTTATCTCACAGGGTTGATGTTGTGGGGAAAAATAGGAAGAGGAACGCAATAGATGGGCCCCCTGAGCTCCTGAATCAGCAAGCCAACCAGTCAAAGTAAATAACTAAATGGTAGTGTAGAAAGCCAGGAAAGTTGCACATTGCCAGAGAAATGATTATACGGTACAATGAAAGGCAGGACATTCACATCATACACATCCGTTGGCCTCTTCACTGAACCAGGCAAGTCTTATTACATCCCTGCAAAAGAATAAACAGAATATCTCCTCCTCCTCCTCCTCCACCATCACCACAATACAAAATAATAATTTCTTCTTCTTCTTCTTCTTCTTCTTCTTCTTCTTCTTCTTCTTCTTTCTTCTTCTTCTTCTTTCTTCTTCTTCTTCTTCTTCTTCTTCTTCTTCTTCTTCTTCTTCTTCCTCTTCCTCTTCCTCTTCCTCTTCCCCTTCCCCTTCCCCTTCCCCTTCCCCCTCCCCTTCCCCTCCTCCTCCTCCTCCTCCTCCTCCTTCTTCTCCTGTAAGAAAATATACAGGAGAATGAGTTTGAATGAGCATTTGAATTCCTACATGTTTAGAAATACTCAGCTGTTTTTTTTTAACCTGTGCATGGATTGGGACTGCAGCTTCCCACATCAGCAGAGGCCTTGCTCTGCACTAAGACGTAGTGGATGCCTATTTGAGAATAGTCCTTTTCAGCCATAACCTCAAAGGTACAGAATATCCTCCCCTGAGAGACCTGCCTGGCGCCTCCCTTGTTATTCTTTTCTGCATTTAGTGATGCAGAATCTTTCCACTTTCTCAGTCCTTTCATTCCTTGTATTTACACTGTGTTTTGGGGAGCGTGTATCTCCAAATAGTTTTAGATATTAAGATGCCATTTTAACCATCTGCTGCTTATCCAACAATTACTGTCCCCGTCTCATCTCCTCCCCTGCCCCCCCTCCCCAATTCGTTTTAAGGTGTTCTTCCTTTGATTTGACATGGATTTTTATCTTCTGGCCTTATGGCTGGGTTCCAGGGTGACTAATAAATCTCTGGAAGTGAGAAATAATTTATGGGCATATCCCAAAGCTGCCTGAAGCGGGAGCCACTGTTGGCTGTGTGCATAAACACCTTTGCTTCTGTTTGCAAGTCAGAAAGCGGGAGGGGTTGATAGAAAAATCCTCTTGTCTACATCCTGGGGGAAATCATCCCACATACAAAGGTGTTTTGTGGATTGGCCTCCTCTCATTACTAAGGATGTTTGTACATTTGTGGTGAGGGAAAAGTCCGCCTTTTTAACAGAACACAGTGGAAATTTCTGTCCTCCACCTCTGGTCTCAGTTTTGGCACACAGGGCTTTCTGTGTCAGGCTCCGAATCCATTCCTTGCTCTGTGTTGTGCTTAGAGATTTATTAAAAGGAGACATTTGAAACGAACCTGCTTCAGACCTAGCCTAAGTTGGCTCTGCCTTGCCAGGAATTTCTCAATGGAAATTTTCCGAAAGAAATTCCATGAAGTTCTTCATGGCTCTGTCTGAACATAGTTTGGTATAAACCAGGAATGTCCAAGTTGAAGACTTATGGATTTAGAAGGTAAAGGTAAAGGCTCCCACTCGCACATATGTGCTAGCCGTTCCCGACTCTAGGGGGCGGTGCTCATCTCCGTTTCAAAGCCGAAGAGCCAATGGTGTCCGAAGACGTCTCCATGGTCATGTGGCCGGCATGACTAAATGCCAAAGGCGCATGGAGCACTGTTACCTTCCCACCAAAGGTGGTCCCTATTTTTCTACTTGTATTTTTTACGTGCTTTCGAACTGCTAGGTTGGCAGAAGCTGGGACAAGTAACGGGAGCTCACCCCATTACGCGGCACTAGGGATTCGAACCGCTGAACTGCCAACCTTTCGATTGACAAGCTCAGCGTCTTAGCCACTGAGCCACCGCATCACCATACTTATGGACTTACAGACTTCTAAATCTGACCAGGGAATTCTGGGAGTTGAAGTCCACAAGTCTTCAAGTTGCCAAGGTTGGACACCCCTGGTGTTAAACCTATCCCAGTACAAAACTCTCAGAAGGAGAGGGTGTGATGGGTTTGGGATTGATGGTAATCCCAAAATGCTGGACGGGTAAATTTGCTTGGATATTATTCAGATAATATTAGGATGGGACACCACTGGGAAATCTAAAGCCTATCCAAAATGAGAAAGGATTCATTTTGTTCCCCAAAGTTCCATCCTGTTAGAGAATTCATAAATTATCTAAATTTATGGGAATTAAATTAAGATAAAGGGACAAGAGCGCCGAACGATTGCCACTACACTTTGCAACATTTTTGTGTTGTCTTTTCCCAGGTTTGATTATCAGGAGCTTTTGCACAACTCTACCTTTTGTATCATCCCCCGAGGGAGACGTTTGGGATCCTTCCGGTTCCTAGAAGCTTTGCAGGTACATGGCTATTATTACTGTATTGTTCTTAGATTTTTATCCCATCTTTTTATATCTAATTCAAGATGGTGAACATACCTAATCTTCCCACCTCCTCTTTTCCCCACAACAACAACAACAACAACCCTGCAAGTTGGGTTGGTCTGACAGGGAGGGACTGGTCCAAAGTCACCCAGTTGGCTTTCATGCTTAAAGGAGGCATTGGGTTTCTTGGCCAGCCTCTTCACCACTATATCACACCACACTAGCTCTTTGTCACAGGTTTGAATTGTTTTGAAAGTTGTTTCTATTTCTTGTAAATACACACAAACACACAGCTTTGCACAGACACAAAGGAACAATATAAGGAAAATTTAATATTAAGTGCAGTATTCCGTTTAAGATCAAAAGCTCTATTATAACGATAGTGATAGCATTTAGACTTATATACCGCTTTACAGTACTTTACAGCCCTCTCTAAGCGGTTTACAGAGTCAGCATATTGCCCCCAACAATCTGGGTCCTCATTTTACTGACCTCGGAAGGATGGAAGGTTGAGTCAACCTTGAGCCTGGTGAGATTCGAACTGTCAAATTGCAGGCAGCCGGCAGTCAGCAGAAGTAGCCTGCAGTACTGCATTTTAACCACTGCGCCACCACGGCTCTTTATACAGATAGTCCTTGACTTACAACCATTTGTTTAGTGACCAGTTGAAGTTACAACGGCACTGAAAAAAGTGACTTATGACCATTTCTCACACTTAACAACCGTTGGAGCATCCCCATGGTCACGTGATCAAAATTCGGATTCTTGGTAACTTGACATGTATTTATGATGGTTGCTGTGTCCCAGACCACCTTCTGACAAGCAGAGTAAATGGAGAAGCTTGATTCACTTACTAACTTAAAAACTGTAGTGATTCACTTAACAACTGTCAAAAGTTAAATTGATATAAATTGCTTTATTTCACATTTTATATGTATGTTATTTTGACTGTTCACCGCCCTGAGTCCTTCGGGAGAAGGGTGGTATAAAAATTAAATAAATAAATAAATAAATAAATAAATAAATAAATAAATAAATAAAAGAAAGGTCATAAAATGGGTCAGAACTCACTTAACAACTTAATAACTGTTTAACAACAGTAACAACTCACTTAATAACTGCTTAGCAACAGAAATTTTGGGCTCAATTGTGCTTGTAGGTCGAGGATTATCTATACAACCAGTGCTTTGATGTGAGTTGTAATGGTTCTTTTTTCAATGTTATCCTCAACTTTGGAATAAAAAAAGCCAAGTCATTTTTGTGCTTGTAATGTTGACATCCTAAATTGTAATTAACATGAGTAGAATATTTTTCTTTCCATTCTCTCTTCCCAGTACTCTAAGCTATCTAAACAATGGTATGTTAATTGTCTCTAGTCGTATTATAGAAACATTCCTATGTTTCAACAATGCAGTCTGATCAAGATTTATAACAGCATAATAAAAAGGTTAATAGCAATCTTGCAATAATACCTTTAACACCATCAAACAACGTCTACCTATCTCAGGTCCTTGAGAAGGACTAAGTGGGTGGATAAAAATGCCACATCCAGTCTAAACCAGTGGTGGGTTGCCCCTGGTTCAGACCTGTTCGCAAGAACCGGTAGTAAAACCAGGGGAAGCTTCGCCCACCGACCCATTGTCAGGGAGCTACTGCGCAGAAGCGCGAGCGCACGGGCGCGGTCCCTTTGCAAACCGGTAGTAAAGGTAAGTAGAACCCACCCCTGGTCTAAAACTCTTGCTGGCTATGCAACCAACTCTAATAAAGTTATTTCTACTTCTTGAGAACTGTCTTTCCAAACTTGTCCTAGTTTTCCAGAGGTTCCCTCCCATTTCTCTACTAGATGAAACAAGCGGATGAAATAATTCTTTTAGGTGAGCTTCCTAGCGTTGTAAGAGTGCTAGACTGATCTTCAGAAATAGCCTAACTGATAGGTCACAGACCCAAAGGAGCAGTTGCACTGAGCAAAAGCTCTCATTCACTTCTCCCCCCCACCTCCACCCCCAACACTTTCCAAAGGGTGCCAGACCTGTTTTCGGAAATAGCCCGGCTATCAGATAAGAGGGGCAGATGGAGGGGAGCAGAAAAAATTAGGGAGAAGGAGCAATTGATAACAAGTGAACTGGCAGTGCTGGAGCTGGATTACATCTGCAAAAGCCTCCAGACTGGGCAAGAAATAGAGAAAAGCGTGCCTGGTGCCAATTATTGTTATGTGTGAGTGAGTGTGTATGTGTGTTTGTAAGTCAGTGTTGACTCCTGTCAACTGCTTGGTCAATTCCCTGCAGCTTTCTTGGCAAGATCTTCAGAAGTGGTTTGCCATTGCCTGCTTACTGGGGCTGAGAAAAAGGGACTGGCCTAAGATCACCCAGCTGGCTTTATGCCTAAAATGGAACTAGAACTCACAATCTCCTGCTTTCTAGCCTGATGCCTTAACTGCTACATCAAACTGACTTTCCACTGCCAAATAATAAAAAAGAAAAATTATCTGCTGTGCGCTCATTAGTGACAGAGCCAACAACACACCCAGCTTCCTTTCCTGCTTTAGATTTACTTGTGCATCATGGAGTTGTCCAAAACCCAGATCCAGCAATCTTTCAAAAGAGCACTAAACCGCATATAAAGGGAGCCCAGATCACCTGCAACCTGGTGATCCTTGCTCTGTTCTCTCATTGATCCAGGCTGCGTGCATCCCGGTCCTGCTCAGCAATGGGTGGGAACTGCCATTTTCAGAGGTGATTGATTGGAGTAAATCATCCATCGTCGGGGACGAGCGGCTTCTTCTGCAGGTAACATGCTGGCTTGGGAATTCTGGGAGTTGAAGTCCCTACATCTTAAAGTCATCAAAGTTGGGAAACATTGTTCTAATTGGTGAGCTTTGGAGCCCTTGTTCATTGTTACTTAATTTTAAAAAAAAAAAAACCACCTGAGAAGAACATTGTCCTTTGTATAAGATGCTTTCATTTTCCGATATAAAGTTCAGCAATTATTTGCAATACGAAGGTATTACCTCTTTGCAGTATTTTTATATGGCCTTTCATTGATCATGTCTCACTTATTTGTTGTTCTTGCTATGGGTAACTTAAGAATTGATTTAAATAGAGAAACTGATCTAGTAATGTGTTGAATTCTGGTAGCCGAATTACTGTAACCTTTGTTATGACATTGCCCTGAGCGTCCTGGATAGATCCTTGCTGGTCAGAGGAATATTGATTCTGCGGATAAATAGCTATAATATGCATACGTAGCCTTAGTCAATGCCCATTCTGCAATTTATTTATTTACATCCCACCTTTTATTATTTTTTAAATAATCAAAGGCAGTGTACATTCTTAATACTCCTTCCTCCTCCTGTTTTCCCTACATTAACAACCTCAATGAGATGGATTGAATGACTGACCCAATGTCACCCAGCCAGCTTTCATGCCTAAAGTGGGACTAGAACTCCCAGTCTCCTGGTGATTGACCCAAAGTTACCCAATTGGTTTCATGCCTAAGGTGGGACTAGAACTCCCAGTCTCCTGGTGATTGACCCAAAGTTACTCAATTGATTTCATGCCTAAAGTGGGATTAGAACTCATAGTCTTCTGGTGATTGACCCAAAGTCACCCAATTGGTTTCATGCCTAAAGTGGAACTAGAACTCATAGTCTCCTAGCGTGGTGCTTTAACCACTAGATCAAACTGCTCAGCTTGGTTGGTTGTCTCCACATCATCGTTGATGCTTTTTGTTATTGAAGGAAGATCTCTCGATGCTTTCTTCCCATCAAAACAACAAGACTGTATTTCAGTTATAGAGTGTAGTAGCATAAAATACGAACAAGGAAAATTACATCCATTTTAATAATTTCACTGAAACATATAAGCAGTATAAGATCCTTAGAAGCTTGGAAAACTAACACAATACTGTAAAATTAAAAGACTGAAACACCTCTATAAAAATGATTGTGGTTGTTCCCTCTATCATAAACTACTCTGCATTCTCCCCTTCATATCTTCTGTTCATGCTGCTTCCTCAACAGATTCCATCCACGGTCCGATGTCTGAACAGTGACAAAATACTTGCCTTCCAACAGCAAACCCAGTTTTTATGGGAAACGTATTTTTCTTCTGTAGAGAAGATTGTGCAAACCACTCTTGAGGTAAGCTGCAGAAATGTGCCCACCATTTGCCCAAATATTTCATCTGTAATTATTTCTGTATCTATGTTTGGGGTCACAAGCCATGGTGAACTGTGGTTTGCTAAATAAATTGGAACTGGCTGGATTCATGTAACACAAACCATAAAACATGGCTTGCAGAGTGCTGTGAATAAGGTCACACAATGCAGTCAATCCTGAAACAAATCGGCTTGCTTCATGCAACGTGTTCAGCACATAATGGTTTGGCATGATGACCAAAGGAAGCCACAGAGAGGTGGGAACCTTTAGCTTTCAAGTTGGTCTAGGTTGTGTCAAGGTGTGTCAATCCTCAGGGTGTGTCCCCATGGCCCATCAACCTCCTTCCAGTAGTTCTCTCTTTGCTTCTAGGTCAGGGCTGAGCAGTTGGAGGAGCGGGCAGGGGGGAGGGGGGAAGGTATGGTTAAACTTCATATAATTCCCTCCATGGCTTCACTGATCCTTGGGTCAAGCTCCACACAGCTGGTCTAAACCACATAAAAAGGTAAAGGTAAAAGTTCCCCTCGCACATATGTGCTAGTCGTTCCCGACTCTAGGGGGCGGTGCTCATCTCCGTTTCAAAGCCAGCGCTGAAGAGCCAGCGCTGTCCGAAGACGTCTCCGTGGTCATGTGGCTGGCATGACTCAACGCCAAAGGCGCACGGATCGCTGTTACCTTCCCACCAAAGGTGGTCCCTATTTTTCTACTTGCATTTTTTACGTGCTTTCGAACTGCTAGGTTGGCAGAAGCTGGGACAAGTAACGGGAGCTCACCCCATTACGCGGCACTCGAACCGCTGAACTGCCGAACTTTCGATCGACAAGCTCAGTGTCTTAGCCACTGGGCCACCCCGTCCCTTCTAAACCACATGGGGATGGCTATTATTTGACCAACCTCCAACCTGCTGTCCACCAATAGATCTTCCTGTCTATTGCTTGATGCACCAGTTAGGTTGGTGGTGAAGTTCTCCAGATCTATGAATGCAAGGGGGACTTCAACTTGCCTTTCTTGGACCCAGAACTGGAAGAAATTCATAGGTGCCAATAAAAGGCAGAATCTCTTTGACTGGTTTGAAATGTTTGCTCCCGGCTTTCTTACCACCTGGGCTGAGTTGCCGTTTATGAGATAAGCTGCCAGTTTATGTTTTTATTTTCTTTCCTTCCTTCTTCAACCTCCCCACCCCACAATCTCTCTCACCTTGGGAAACATCATTGCTTCTTTTTCCCTTCTGGTCAAAAGTTTGGAGAAATGGGGAAGGGAAATCCAAGAGTTTAAGTTTCACCTTCTTCATGAAGTGTCCCAATTATATCATATAATGCTTAAAAAATATTTTAGGTATATAGATGTAAATATAAATGAATGAGAAATCTCCTTTTTCCTCTTGATCTATTTAAGTTGTTTTTAGCCAGGAAATTCCTGTCTAGAGATGAATGCCTATAGCAGATCTGGTCATTTTATGGCCTCTTTGGCTGTCCCTATCCGGCCCACGTGAGGTCATTCGGAAATAAGAAATCAAATATAAATAATTGTACCCCCTGCATGCAATAAAACAGCTCTGCTTTTATTTTTGAAGGCAACTGCTATTTTTTTATTCAGTCCAGCTCTTAACTCCTACATAGAGTTTGTACCAGGTGTATTTCGGCCTAGCATGCTTCGCTTAATGTTATAGTAATAGTTAACATTTATATTAAAAAATAGTTATGTTAAAAAGGGACGCGGTGGCTCCGTGGCTAAGACGCTGAGCTTGTCAATTGAAAGGTCGGCAGTTCAGCGGTTCAAATCCCTAGTGCCGCGTAACGGGGTGAGCTCCCATTACTTGTCCCAGCTTCTGCCAACCTAGCAGTTCAAAAGCACATAAAAAAATGCAAGTAGAAAAATAGGGACCACCATTTGTGGGAAGGTAACAGCATTCTGTGCGCCTTTGGTATTGAGTCATACTGGCCACATGACCATGGAGACGTCTTCGGACAGCGCTGGCTCTTCGGCTTTGAAACGGAGATGAGCACCGCCCCCTAGAGTCGGGAACAACTAGCACATATGTGTGAGGGGAACCTTTACCTTTTTAACATTTATGTAGCATTTTCAGAGCTTTTTCAGACTGTCTCACCTACAGTTTCTTACTAAGCCACAAAATATGCCTGCTGGTAGTTAACCAGTGTAACCAGTATCCTCACACTGGAATTACAGAGGAGGCATCAAAAAGACAATAACGGCATGCCAAATTTGAATCTGGACTTCCTGGCTACTCTGCCACAGAAGCCTAACTTTTTCTAATTGGAGCCAAGGGAAATCCAAGAACGGTTGAAGATTGATCTCATATATAGGAGACACCTCCGTTTCCAGCAGGTGCAGATGGCTCCAGGGTGTAATGACAACTATCTTTCTCTTCGCTAGATAATAAAAGATCGGATATTTCATCAGGAATCACGCCCAAAGTTCTTCTGGAACACACTTCCTGGAGGGTTGGTGGCCTTACCAGAATACTCCACTCATCTCAACGACTTCCCTTTCTATTATCTGCAGCAAGGTAGGGGAAATACCTCTGCGCTGTTTCTAACGTGATTTTTTTAATCCCTACTTCTTCTTTCCTAAAAAGTTGAAGTTGTTGGGGTGGTGGTGGACCGACCACAAAACGTTGCGGCAATGAATGTCCCTTCTCAAGGGTTTAGAGAAAGTCCTTGATTTACAATCACAACCGAGGCTAGAATTTCTGTTGCCCATCAAGGCAGTTGTTTGAATGAGCCGCACCTGATTTTATGAGCTTTTTTGCCCTGATTGTTAAGCGGATCAGTGCAGTTGTTAAGTGAGGTGGTCATTAAGTTGAATCCAACTCCCCCCCCCCATTGACTTTGCTTGTTGGAAACCGACTGGGAAGGTTGCAAAGGGTGATCACACGACCTCAGGATGCTGCAAGCGTCATAAATACATGCCAGTTGCCAAGCACCTGAAATTTGATTACGTGACTGTGGGGATGCTGTCATAAGTGCAAGGACCGTTTATAGGGCACTTTTTTCAGTGTGATTGTAACGGTCACTAAACAAATGGTCGTAAGATGAGGAGTACTTGTCGTCTCTCTTCCAGGATACTCCATCAGGCACTGTGACTTCCACCACCTGTTTTCCAGTTTCATCTTTTACAGATGCTCAGAATTATCATTAGCTCGAATGTTTATTTGTTTGCATGTTGATCTATTTGTAGGAGGTGTTGCTTCGTAGACCTTTCCCCCACTAAAGTATTTTTATACTTTTGCAAATTTTAAGGTTTCCCGAGTAAGCTGATGCCTATCTCCTGGGTTTTTCAAATCATTTTTTTAAAAAAAAAATAGCATTTACCCACTGCATTTATTATTAGGGGGAGGTGTTGTGGCCCGCCAGTGGCCAGCAGAGCTGGCAGCAGAGTCGGACAGTGAGGAGGTTGGGGAGGAATGTGGGCCAGTCCTGGAGTCTTGGGAAGGCTCGGATGAGGGCTCTGAGTCAGAAGCAGAGAAAGGGTCAAGGCCATTTGGTAGTTCTTTGCTGCCTCTGGAGTCTCCGGAATCTGACATCAGTGAGGCAGAAGAACAGCATGAGCCTACTCCCAGCGAGCGCATGCACAAAGCTGCCAGAAGACAGGAACAATTAAGAAAACAGGGTCGACTTGGGAGTAAGGCTTGGAGATGATTGGCCCATCCCATAAGACATTAAAGAGGAGCTAATGGGACGTGAGCTTTTGCAGGAAGCAGTTAGTTCATCTGGTCGGTAAAAGCTCTGGAAAAGCTCTGTTTGACTCTGTGCCAAGTTTGGCCTTGCCCTGCGTGTAGCAATTAGTTATCTGGCAGCATTCCAAGGGAGTTAAGGTGAATGTTTGTAAACACTCCCCTGATAGACTGTTTGAGAAGCCTTTCGGACTGGGAATGACAATAATTCACAACCATTTGAATTAAAGAGGTTTGCCGGGACTAAGTTTGTGCTGTTTACTTTCTAAGGAAGCCTAGGTCAGAACAGGAGGGTCTAACCTTACAGAATGTAAAGAATCATAGAGATGACTTTGGGGAAGGTCTGAGAAAGCCGAAGAAACAAGCCGTTGAAGTGGGACGTAGAGATTGCATAGTCCGGGGATTGCAGGAAGCATGAGAAAGAAACAAGGCCGCTGCGGGTTTTGTTTACTTTAAGATGGGACAAAGAGAAACTTGGACAGGTTTTCAAAAATTAAAATAAACAACATTCCTGAAGTCCCTGCTGTGCCTGTTTCTTGACCTGATCTCCTTTGAAGGGCTGACAAAGAGTTACATAAGTAACACAGACAAGCAGCCTCTGCTCCCAAGACAGTTACAATCGGGCCTCCAGGACAGAAATCCAAAGGGAGAAACCCACACAGTAAAGAGGATGGAATGAAATAGATAATTACGCATCCGTTTCTGCCAGGCATCCCCAATTCCCCCTTTAGTGAGGCTGGTGCAGGGGTGAAATGCTACGAGTTCGCTCCGGTTCGGGCAAACCGGTAATGATAAAAACTAAAGGTTCGGGCGAACTAGTAGTAAAAGAAAAGCCCAAACTGGTAGTTTAAAAAAAGCTACCGGTTCAGGCAAACCGGTAGTTAGCTACCGGTTCGGGCAAACTGGTAGTTAAAAAAGCTACCGGTTCCTCTGAACCGAAATTTCCGATGATCAGCTGTGCTGTGGGGTTTAGCTTTGCTAGAAAGCAGGAAATCCTGCTTTCCAGCAAAGCTAAATCGTGCGGCACAGCTGATCCCTCCCCACTCGCTGTTCTACTTACCTTCCCAAGCCTCCTTTTGGTGTGTATTGTGCATGTGCACACGCAGTGTGCATTTCTTGCGCACTGTGCATGCACATGCAGCATGTGTTTGGCGCATGGTGTGCGCATGGTGCACGGCACACATGCACGGCCAGCAAACCGGTAGCAAACCGGTTCAGATTTCATCACTGGGCTGGTGGGCATGGTTGGAGTCTCAACAGTGCATCCTGAGCAATTGAGCATTGCCACCAAACAGCTACAGGTAGTTCTTGACTTACAACGTTTTAGTGACCATTCAAAGCCTGATTCATTTAGCAACCGTGTTACTTAAGTTAATAAACTGCAGTGATTCACTTAACGACTGTGACAAGGAAGGTCATAAAACAGGGCAAAAATTCACTTAACAACTGTCTCGCAGCAGAAATTTGGGGTTCAATTGTGGTCATAAGTTGAGGACTACCTGTGCTATGACAGTCATAAGCCATCTATTCCCCAAAAGGCAAGCTGGTAAAATTGGTGCCTCTTCTTCTTCTGGAGCAGAGATGGCTAACCTTTTCCGGACCGAGTGCCCAAAGCATGTGTGCCCGAACCCTCAAAATGCAATGTGCGTGCGCCCCCGTGCATGCACTCCATGCATGCACATGCCCCCCATGCATGTACCTCACCCCCTGCATGCACACGCGCCCCCCGCATGCGCCCTGCCTCCCCCGCGCATGCATGGCAGAGATCCAAAGACCAGGTGGCCAGTGGGAGGCGTGCACATGCCTGGCAGAGCTGAACTGGGGTGATGGCTTGCGTGCCCACAGAGAAGGTGCTGCGTGCCACCTGTGGCACACGTGCCATAGGTTCACCATCACAGTTCTGGAGGAAGTTCAAATGCTTTAGTTTAATGGTCTTTTTTTTTAACAAGGCAGGTGAGGAACTGTCCAGGCAGAGCACTGAGCAATTCCCACACACTCTTTTATTTACCAGAAAGAGTCTGAGATTCATGTGGAGCAACCTGACGTTTTAGGAAGGAAGGAAGGATAATGCAGGATTAAATTAAAGGGGCCTTGCTATAGAGTCGTCAGTGTGTTGGATTGTTCTGACCTAGGCTTCCTTAGAAAGTATACAGCAAAATCTTAGTCCCTCTTTAATTCAAACGGCTGGCAATTATTGCCATTCCCAGTCCGAAAAGCTTCTCAAACAGTCTTTCAGGGGAGTGTTTACAAACACCCACCTTATCTCCCTTGGAATACTGCCAGAGAACTAATTGCCACACGCAGGGCAAGGCCAAACTTGGCACAGAGTTAAACAGAGCTTTTCACAGAGCTTTTATCAACCAGATGAACTAATTGCTTTCTGCAAAAGCTCCCGTCCTGTTCACTCTTCTTTTATTTCTTATGGGTGGGGCCAATCATCTCCAAGCCTTACTCCCAAGTCGACCATGTTTCCTTAATTGTTCCTGTCTTCTGGCAGGTCTGCGCATGCGCACACTGGAAACAGGCTCACACTGTTCTTCTGCCTCGCTGATGTCAGACTTCAGAGACTCTGGAGGCAGCAAAGAACTACCAGATGGCCTTCACCCCTTCTCTGCCTCTGACTCAGAGCCCTCATCCGAGCCTTCTTCAGACTCCAGGACTGGCCCACGTTCCTCCCCAACCTCCTCAGTGTCCGAATCTACTGCCAGCTCTGCTGGCCGTTGGTGGGCCATAACGTGGATTAGAACTGGAGTTCAGATGCCGTCTCAGCCATTCCTGGGGAGATCTTGGGCCTATTACTTTTCCTCACTCAGTCTATCACTCAGACAACTATTTGCGGTGAAGGGGGATTCTTGCATAGGCTGCCTCTAACTGCTAGGGCAGAGGTCTCTAAAGTTAGCAGCTTTAGGATTTGTGGACTTCAACTCCCAGAATTCCCCAGCCAGCATAGCTGGGATCTGAGGTCCCCAAGTCTTAAAGTTGCCAAATTTGGAGACTCCTCTGGTAGAGGAACCATGAAATATAAATAGATAAAATAATAAAGACTGATGGGGTAGTGTACCTGACAATAGGCACCCATTGCAGCCACAATTGTGGACTCCTCCTGTAAATGAACATAGCTGAAATTGTCACTAATGTTATCTCTGTTATCTCATCTGCCTTAATTCCTCCTGGTTTGTTTAATTTTTTTCCCTACTGTTTTCATTGGCAATGAAATCTGAATTGCAAGTTTCCTGTGGGTGGAGGCCTCTCTTCTTTTATCTTCTGAAATGTGATGTAAGCTGGTAGCACTAAATAAACCACTAATGATAATTGGTTAGATGGGGATTAAATTTCAGCACATGAGCCAAAAACCCAAGACAGGTTTGGAGGAGAGTTTCGAGCATCCCAGACTCACCGGTTCTCTCCCCTAACAGGATCCAGCCCCTCCGAGAAGTTTACGGCATTAATCTGGGCCGTCTCACCAATTGTCTCCCTTTCTCAGCCCATCCTCAAGCTCATCCAAGCTGTCTCCAGATCCCAATACTGCGCCAAGGTAAAGGAGTTGCTTGCTGTTATTGCTGTGTTGATGTTTACCGCCAGCGTCCCCCCCAATCACACGAACAAACTGTGGGCGCTTTGCAACAGGCATGTGTTTATTTACAATGATTGCGTTGTCCTGGGGTCATGTGATCCCAATTTGCAACTTTCCTGGCTGGCTTCTGACAAGCAAAGTCAACGGGAGAAGCCGAATTTGCTTGATGACTGCGTGATTCACTTCACAAGTGCTGTGACTTGCTTAACAACCATTGCAGACAAGCAATAGCAATAGCGCCTAGACTTATATACCGCTTCACAGTGCTTTTACAGCCCTCTCTAAGCGGTTTATAGAGTCAGCCTATTGCCCTCAACAATCTGGGTTCTCATTTTACCCAACTTGGAAGGATGGAAGGCTGAGTCAACCTTGAGCCTGGTGAGATTCGAACTGCTGGCAATCGGCAGTCAGCAGAATTAGCCTGCAATACTGCATTCTAACCACCGCACCACCACAGTTCTAATGGATGTAAAATTAGGCTGATCTCACTTAACAACTGCCTTGCATAGTGACGAAACTTCCGGTCCCAATTCTGGTCGTAAATCAAGGACTACCTATATACGAACATGCTATGTTTACGTTGAGGAATGTGAAAAACGATCTAGCTCCACCTAAAATGTGTAGCAGGACAATCCAGTCCAGTCCAATGTAGGTGGTCCTCGACTTACGACCACAATCGAACCCAAAATTTCTGTTGTTAAGTGAGTCATTTGTTAAACGGGGTTTTGCCCCATTTTACGACCTTTCTTGCCACAGGGATTAAGAGAATCACTGCAGTTCCACATTGACTTTGCTTGTCAGAAGAGTCACAAGAGAGGATCGCATGACCTCGATCGTGGGGATGCTGCGAAAAGTTGGAACTGTGAAAAACGGTCATAAGTCACATTTTTCAGTGCCGTTGTAACTTTCAATGGTCACTAAATGAATGTTGTAAGTCGAGGACTACCTATATCTCGCATTTCCATTTGCCTCTTTCACATCACTCTCATGTTTAACAGCAGCTCTCATCTCCTTGCTACCCTCTTAATCCAGACTTCTGATGCTTTGGACTACAACCTCCACGTTGTCATTCACGCCTCTTGTTGTGAAGATTGCTAGAAGGTGTGATCTTCCAGAGTTGTGTTGTTGTACAAAACCCACCAAGCTCTGGAGCTTTATCCATTCCCTTGTATGTCAGAGGGTTGTGATGGGTGTGGCAGCCTTAGGATACACCTGGGTGGGCTAGTAACCTTCATTGCTGTCAGCAGGTCTCACCTTCCCCTTTAACTACAGGGCAGGTCCTGTCAACAGCCACGTCTCTACTGCAGATGAGCTCACCTAACCAGGCCGCGCCCATCCTGAGCATTTCAAAATGTGTGGCAGTAAATAGACTCTTCTAAGTATGTGAACTCAGGAGTCTGAGCACATTGTCCTTGTAGCTTGTCTGCTTTAGGAGGAAAGGTTCAGTCTGCTTCTGCAAAAGTACCAAGGAAGCATGCATTGGTGTGTAGTCTAATGCATTCTATAGGAGCCCGTTTGGGGTTCTGCTTAAGGGTGCTGGCTGGAAGCTGGGAGACCGTGAGTTCTAGCGTTGAGGCCAATTTTTACATCTCAGCCCTGGGAAGAAAGAAAATGGCAATCTGCTTCTAAAAATGTTGTCCAGAAAACTGCAGAGACCTGTCCACCTTACCGTACTTGCCAGGAGTCAAAAGTAATTCAGAGGCAGAAGAAAGAAAGAGAAAGAAAGAAAGAAAGAAAGAAGAGAGAGAGAGAGAGAGAGAGAGAGAGAGAGAGAGAGAGAGAGAGAGAAAGAAAGAAAGAAGAAGGAAGAAGGAAGGAAGGAAGGAAGGAAGGAAGGAAGAAAGAAAGAAAGAAAGAAAGAAAGAAAGAAAGAAAGAAAGAAAGAAAGAAGAAGAAAGAAAGAAAGAAAGAAAGAAAGAAAGAAAGAAAGAAAGAAAGAAAGAAAGAAAGAAAGAAAGAAAGAATTAACAGTGAAGGCTTGGGTTTCCTTTTGGAGAGGTTGAGTGGCAATTGTTTGGTCCTGCCCCACAATATGAATTACCGTATTTTTCAGAGTATAAGACGCACTGGACTATAAGACGCACCTACCTTTTTTGGTGAGGAAAAGAAGAAAAAGAAATATGCCTCTGCCTCTGAGCAATTTTGCCTCCTTACAGCAAACAGCAAACAGCCTGCTTTACTTTCATTTTCGTTTTCAGCATAGCTTGATTAGCACAAGGGGAAAAAAAATCTGCTCCAGCACAAATCAGCTGAGAGTCTGGAGGCCGATCCAATCAACTTTTGCTAATTAGGCTGTGCTGAAGCTGAAAGGAACTGTTTTTTCTTGCTGTTTGCTTGCAAGGAGGTAGCTGCTGGGAGGCAGAGGCCAAAGGGTGGGGGCCAGTGGGTGGGCAGGGCTACATTCAGTGTATAAAACGCACCTAAATTTTCACCCCCTTTTAGGGGGGGGAGGAAAGATGCATTTTATACTCCGAAAAATACGGTACTGCCAAATCCTGCATTTTTAAAAACCAATTCTCATTCAGTTGGAGGAAATCAGGAATGTGCCTGCAAAATTCTCTTGGGTAGAGTATGATGGTCCTGCCTTTGTTTAGATCTGAGCCAGGGGTGAAATCCAGCAGGTTCTGACAGGTTCTGGAGAACTGGTAGTGGAAATTTTGAGTAGTTCGGAGAACCGGCAAATACCATCTCTGGCTGGCCCCAGGAGTGGGGTGGGAATGGAGATTTTGCAGTATCCTTCCCCAGGAGTGAGGAGGAAATGAGGATTTTGCAGTATCCTTCCCCTGCCACACCCACCAAGCCACGCCCACAGAACCGGTAGTAAAAAAAAAATGGATTTCACCACTGATCTGAGCCACTCAATGGAATATGTGAATGTCCCACCTTTCGTAGTAGAGTCATGTCTCCAAACGTTGTCTGCTTCCCGGCTTCCCATGGTTACGTTGAATCCCAGAGGGACAGTTTGGGAGGGAGTCTTTTTCCTAAGGCGTTTTGAGGTTGGGAATTGCTAATGGATAGGGAGGCTTCAGAATGATGGAAGAAACCCTTAATAGAAAAGCACACAGCAAGGAAAGTACAGATAGTCTTAGGTTCGTTCATTCGTTGCATTCGTTCAGTGACTGTTCAAGGTTATGACAGTACTAAACTAAGGGGATTTATGACCAGTCCTTGGAGTTCCAGCCATTGCAGCATCCCCACAATCATATGATTGTAATTTCTGACATTCCCCGCCAGCTTCCCATAAGCAAAGTCAATGGGGAAGACGGCAGGAAGTTGAAAGTTGGAAGTCGCAGTTATGTGAGATCCTTGCTTAACAACTGGAATTGCCAGAAGTCATCATCATCTTCTTTTAACCACCCCATAATCCCTTGTGGGGTGGAGTCTGGGCAACTGAATGGCGCTGAGTGTTTACTGGCCGGATGTCCTTCCTGTCGCCAGTGGCATTGCCAGAACTGTCATTGCTAAATAGCACAGTCACGTGACATTGTGCTTTTCAACCGTATCACTTAGCAAGGGAAATTCCGATTCCAGTTGCCATCATTAGCCAATCATTTGTAATCTTCTGCCATTCCACCGATGCTCCAAAAGGAAACTTGGAAGGGAGTTCTCAAGCAACTGAGAATAAGGCAAGAAAACGGAAACCAATGAAAGAAAGCCATGGAGAAATTGCAAGTCCCATTTTAGTACACCGTCGGTATGAATGGCTTTTCCCCACACACCTAGAAAACATTTTACGAAAAAGATCTCAAATACATCAAGTGGGAAAATTTCATTAAGAAAGACCAAAGTCTCCGCAGCTTTCATTACGGCAAGCAAAAAGCTGAAATGCATTTAGAATAGAATAGAATAACAGAGTTGGAAGGGACCTTGGATGTCTTCTAGTCCAACCCCCTGCTTAGACAGGAAACCCTACACCACTTCAGACAAATGGTTATCCAACATCATCTTAAAAACTTCCAGTGTTGGAGCATTCACAACTTCTGGAGGCAAGTAGTTCCACTGATTAATTGTTCTCACTGTCAGGAAATTTCTCCTGAGTTCTAGGTTGCTTCTCTCCTTGATTAGTTTCCACCCATTGCTTCTTGTCCTGCCCTCAGGTGCTTTGGAGAAGAGCTTGACTTCCTTTTCTTCATGGCAGCCCCTGAGATATTGGAACCCTGCCATCACGTCTCCCCTAGTCCTTCTCTTCATTAAACGAGACAGATCCAGTTCCTGCAACCGTTCTTCATATATTTTAGCCTCCAGTCCCCTAATCATCTTTGTTGCTTTTCTCTGCCCTCTTTGTAGAGTCTCCACATCTTTTTTACATCGTGGCGACCAAAACTGAATGCAATATTCCAAGTGTGGCCTTACCAAGGCATTATAAAGGGGTATAATGCCTTGTTAAGGCCACACTTGGAATATTTACTAGAGCAACTTTTTAACCGTTCCTTGGTTGTATAATTTAGATTTGCTGCAGGAAACCATTAACGTGTTGGGGGGGGGGTCAACTGTTCCTATGAACGTAAAATGTTGGCTTGAGAACAACCTTTTGGAGCCAAAACGTGGCAGCCTTTGCAGAGTGAGAATACTTGCTTCCAAGCTCCAGTCGCAGTTTGAAAGCAGGGATTCGGGCAGCTCGCCAAGCAGGGTAAGGAAAATTGTACAAGCTGAAATTCCCGAGGCAGTCTGGTGATGAGACAAAACCAGAAGACCACCCCAAAGAGGGCGGCTTTGAGGATCAGTGCAGGAGGTACTGTTTGTACTGCAGCGCAGTTCAAACAAGGCAGTTTTAGCACAACAAGAATCGTCTGGGTGTTTTCTTATGTAAGACCCATAGAAATAGGCAGGGCTCTTGGGCTTTGGCACATTTCCTGCCCATTTCAATGAGGTTCTGTGCCAATGGGCTTTTGTTCCTTCCCACTAATGGGAGGAGACGTGCCATTGGAGGTGTTTGCAGCAGAAACCAAAAACGTGCTTTTAAGGTCGCCTTCATGAAATTCTGTCTTCTGCCTAACTCTTTACCCAGTCCCTCTCCAACCCGATGATCCCCAGGGATGGATTTCAGCTTCCATAATCCCCAAGCAGGTGCCAATAGGCCAGCTTGGCTAAGAAGAGTGGGTCTTGCCATCCTGATGAGAGAGGGTGCTTCTAAATCCTTAATTGACTATTTCCACCACCACCCCCAACCTGAGTTGGAATTTTGTTGGCATTAGAGAGTGAGCAGGGAGGTTTGATGTCAGTGAGTCAGTGGTTTTGCTTGTTTTATGGAGTTTTGTTGGTGAGTTACAGAAGTGGATGGGCTTAAGGCACTCATTTCACTCCTAAAGCCTTCCCAACCCTAGAAAAATCCAGTCTGAGTTTTAGGGGAATCTGGGGCTTTGATATAGAATGGAATGGAATGGAATGGAATGGAGTGGAGTGGAGTGGAGTGGAGTGGAGTGGAGTGGAGTGGAGTGGAGTGGAGTGGAGTGGAGTGGAGTGGAGTAGAGTAGAGTAGAGTAGAGTAGAGTAGAGTAGAGTAGAGTAGAGTAGAATCGCAGAGTTGGAAGGGACCTTGGAGGTCTTCTAATCCAACCCCCTGCTTAGGCAGGAAACCCTATACCATTTCAGACAAATGGTTATCCACTCTCTTCTTTAAAACTTATAGTGTTGGAACATTTACAACTTCTGGAGCCAAGTTGTTCCACTGATCAATTGTTCTAACTGTCAGGAATTTTCTCCTTAGTTCTAAGTTGCTTCTCTCCTTGATTGGTTTCCACCCATTGCTTCTTGTCCTGCCCTCAGGTGCTTTGGAGAAGAGTTTGACTCCCTCTTCTTTGTGGCAGTCCCGGAGATATTGGAACACTGCTATCATGTCTCCCCTAGTCCTCCTTTTCATTAAACTAGACAGACCCAGTTCCTGCAACCATTCTTCATATGTTTTAGCCTCCAGTCCCCTCATCATTTCTGTTGCTCCTCTGCACTCTTTCTAGAGTCCCCACATCTTTTTTTACATCATGGCGACCAAAACTGAATGCAGTATTCCAAGTGTGGCCTTACCAAGGCCTTATAAAGTTGTATTAACACTTCATGTTATCTTGATTCTATCCCTCTGTTTATGCAGCCCAGAATTGTGTTGGCTTTTTTGGCAGCTGCTGCACACTGCTGGCTCATATCTAAATGGTTGTCCACTAGGACTCCAAGATCCCTCTCACAGTTACTACTATTGAGCAAGGTACCACATATACGGTACCTGTGCATTTTGTTGATATAATTTCTGGGGAAAATGAAGTATCTCACCACCGCTCCATCTAAACCCACTTCAGGCCTTTCGAAAGGCCTGAAAAAAACCTGGCTTTCCCTTCTGAATTTAGAGCCAGGGTGCTAGAAAGACTTGATTTGTTTATATGCTGTGCTCTGCAATGAATTGAGCAATTTTCATCTGGCATCTTTTAATCTTGTAATTCTTTTAAATACGTATGTTTTTGTTTGTAAGCCTTGTTGGCTGCCCAGAGTTAATTGATGAAGATGGGCGGCCAGATAAAGTTGCAGAAGGAACAAACAAACAAATAAATACAGCAAAAAATGAAGACAGTTGTTCTGTGGCACGTTTCAGCTGGCGTTTCTGTTTTTTGTACAGATTTTAGTCTTATGGAGCTGTGAGAAGCCGCCTCCACAGAAGTGGCCGCCGACCACAGTGCCCTTGACTGTCATTTTAAGCAGCAACAAGGTAAGAGGCCATCCAGATTGGGGTTGTGGTTGTTGTGATTGTCATGGAGCACATTTTAGGAAGGGAAGACCTTGGCAAAATCAGCTGAGATCCGCACTCCAGCAGGAATCCTGCTTTATAAACACTCCAGTTCACCTCTCATTCAGAGCCAGTTCTCCTCTTCCTTCAATGGGCATTTTCCAAACATTCAACCGAAGACCAATCTAAGGAAAAGAGTAAAGCTTCCACTTGATTTTTCTTTATTTTCAAAAGAAGTGTTCTTGTGGGCAAGGATTCAAAAGGAAATAATTACCAACAGCAAAAAGAAAGCAGAAAAGTAACCTGAGGAAACATCTCAGACAAGTCCACCCCTAGTTCTCACAAAGATAAAATGGAGAGAGGGGGACTTGCAAGATTATCCCTGCTTTTCTCTATCATCTCTATCTAACCTATCTCCCATTTTTAATAATTTTACAAATAACTCAAGGCGGGGAACATATCAAGCACACCTTCCTCCTCCGATTTTCCCCACAACAACCAACCCTGTGAGATGGGTTGGGCTGAGAACCACTGGCCCAAGGTCAACTAATCAGCTTTCATAGCTAAGGTGGGATTAGAACTCATAGCCTCTTGGTTTCTAGCCTGGTGCCCTAACCACTAGACCAAGCTGGCTCTCCTCTATCTTTGCAATAAAAGTAGCATTGTTCTACATGACTTTGATTTCCTGTCTGGTTCTTCTTTGAAGGGGTGACAGAAGGTGCTTTTTTGTTTCTTTTCTCTTCTCCTGCAGGTCAGCGAACGGTTTTTGCCTTATTCTGCTATTGGGACGGATGCCGTGTTGAGCCTTGATGAATGTACCAGCCTTTCAACCAGTGAGGTGAGAAAGTTCTCAGAATCTTTCTACTTGTGTTGTAGCCATGGACCGGGGTGAAACTTCCTTAACCAGTTCAGAAGTGCACGTGCGCAGAAGGTTAAAACCAGGAAGTAATGACATCCGGACGGCAATCACTACCGGATCGCCGAACCACAGGGAAAAATCGCTACTGGATTGGGCGATCCAGTCCGATCCGGGAGCATTTCACCCCTGCCATGGACCTTGAATACAGGAAGGGACATATGACTACTTAAACTCAGGGCAAGGCCTAGAACCTGGACAGTTGAGAAAGTGTCCACTGCAGCTATCTTGGCTGAGAGGGGCTTAGGGATCCTTGAGAAATATTGTTTTCCCTTTCTTCAAATATATATATATATATCTTACCTATTTGACAAAGCCTATGTTGTAAGCCTATATGTTTCTGTATATGCGTTGTAAATTAAATGATTGAAATGTAAATTGGTTGACTTAGAAAAATGGGGGGAAAGGAATTGTACATATATAGACTAAAATATGGAATTCTATTGTCTATTAGTTATCCAATTCTGATTCCCCATTGTAAAATGCTTGTTCAGATATGGAAAGGGAACATTGAGTAATCTTTGCATGGTCTGCTTGCAAAAGGTTCTAGGTTTAATTAGTGACATCTCCACAACTGACTAGTAGAGACTGTGGCTGATCCTGGAGAATTGCTGCTGGTGAGAATAGGCCTTTCCCAACCTGATAACTTTCATTACTTACTTTTGGAATGCCCCATCAGCATGGCTAGCAGTAGGAATTCTAGAAATTTCTGGGTCACAGAAGGTATCTTAGTGGATACACATTACGGATATCATGAATGTCATGGTCTAATATGTAGAGCAGGGAGTGTCCAATCTTGGCAACTTTAAGAACCTGTGGACTTCAATTCCCAGAATTCCCCAGCAAGCCATTGGAACTCTGGGAGTTGAAGTCCACAGGTCTTAAAACTGCCAAGGTTGGACATCCCTGCTCTAGAGATCATGCTCCTTGGAAAAAAAGAAGGAATATCATTCGAAAGTAGAAGGCATGACTTCCATGTAGACAACCTGAAGCCTTCCAATGAAAGATTCTCTTTCCTCAAACTGTTTTCCTGTCCTCTTCCTTACCTTTTAGGTTGACTTTGCCTTTGTTGTATGGAGAAAGTTCCCTGAACGGATTGTAGGCTTCCCAATGCGCAGCCATTTTTGGGATACAGGCAAGAACCAGTGGAGCTACACTTCAAAATGGACCAATGAGTTCTCTATGGTTCTCACTGCGGCAGCATTCTATCACAGGTACCCTTCCTGACTGAGGAACCTCCTTGAGTTGGAAAGAGCCCATTGAGGCAATCAAATCCAGTTCTTGCTCAGTGCTGGAATCCCGATGGATGTCTCTAAGATACGGCTGTCTGCTTTTGCTTGAACTCTTCCTAGCAAGGGAAGCTCAGCATCCCCCTGTTGTGACCCAGGCCCAAGTAGGTATTATCAGACGTAAACAGTTCAAAACAAACAGACTTTATTAGAACAGCTGAGAATTAACTCTTTCTCAGCGTAGTCCAAACTAATTCAAAACAAATTCTTCATAACACAATTCTACAGCCTTATCACCAACCTTGGTCTAATTAGGCAACCTGCCAAAGGCTTTTCTTGGCAAAAGTTCAGAAGCAGAAGACGCCGACAAGAGATAAGTGCAGCAAGCCAAGAAACAAATCTATCAACGTTGTTTTCCGACAAAGAGCCCAAGAGCCGTTGCTGGTCTTTTAAGCCTTATGGGAGGGGCCAATCATCTCTTGGCCCTACTCCCAAGTTGTCCTTTTTGCTTTAGCTGCTCTTGTCTTCTGGCAGCTCTTCTCATGCATGCACTAGGAACAGGCTCCTCCTGTTCCTCTGCCTCTCTACTGTCAGCCTCTGGAGGCTCCGGAGTCCGCGTATCACTCCCAGATAGCCCTGGCCCCATCTCTGCCTCCGATACACAGCCCTCATCCGGGCCTTCCCCAGCTTCCAGGACTGGCCCATGTTCTTCCTCAGCCTTCTCACTGTCCGACTCCGCTGCCAGCTCCGCAGGCTGCTGGCGGATCACAACACCCCGTTTTTCATTGGTTCATACTGCTTTTGCTTGCAAGAAGTTATCCCTAACCTTCCACTGGAATCTGCTTTCATACTTTTCAGGTCCCTTCTTCCCTCAGTCACATTCTGGAACAAACGTGGGTGAACCTTAAGCATCTTTCAGATACGTTTGAAGAATAAATAGGAAGCTTGACGTTTTTACAATTAATCCAGTAGTAACTATAACAATGGATCACTGGAGTAGGTTCTGTGTGGATTGGCCTTGAAACTATGGGCCTCTTCCTTATGTACACCTAGCTAATGAATACAGGTAGTCGCCGACTTACAACCTTTCTTACAGTTCCACTCTAGGATAGTATGCATCACATACAAAATAAAGATGGGATAACAACAACAGGATTGCCTGCAGTTGAGCCTCAGTTGAACTGAAGTTACAACAGTTGGGCATCTGGTTTTTTGAAGGACACCGGAATGGGTCTGGAAGAAGATGCCACTACAAGATTAGTCTATTTATATACCAAGAAATATGGTTCAACTAAAGTTCTCCAGTCCAGAAAAAGAGTATAATATGATAATTAGAACATGGTCAGAAAACAGTTGGAAAAGAATTGTTCCAGCAACTACTCTTCAGAAATATTTTTTTAGGCTCTGTTTTCAGGGCCCCTACTTGAGACTCAACTGCAGGTAATCCTGTTGTTGTTGTTATCCCATCTTTATTTTGTATGTGATGCATACTATCCTAGAGTGGAAGGAACTACTGAGTTCAGACACCTGAATTCCACTGTTGAATGGCTTTTCAACAGAAATATTGATGGAGATTCTCAGTCATCCAGATCATGGTTGTCCCAAAAATACTTTTTCAAGAGGCAATTGGACTTTCTGGTTTTTCTTGGAAGACATTTCGCTTCTCATCCAAGAAACATCTTCAAAGAAAAACCAGAAAGTCCAGTTGTCTCTTGAAAAAGCACCTTTGGGACATGCTAGAAATACCCTAATATTCAACCAGAACATTCTAAATGATGCATTCCGAGATGATTATAAAAAACAGATTGTGGTGCAGGAGACACACCTGGAGGGAGCAGGTTGACGATGGGAAGCCCTATACATTTCTGCAGGGTTCTTCTTTCTGCCCACCCCTGTGTTTTCCTTCCACAGGTACTATCACAGCCTCTTCAGCAACTATTTGCCTGCCAAACTAAGGAGCTTTGTTGACCAGATTGCCAACTGTGAGGACATATTGATGAACTTTCTGGTTTCTGCTATAACCAAATTGCCTCCCGTCAAAGTGACCCAGAAGAAACATCTCAGGGAGAGCCCACCTCAGCAGGTAGGCAGACACGGGTGGGAACCAAGGGGCCAGAGGAGAAAAGGGAAGGAATTATTTCCGTCTTGGAAGATTTTTCTTCCAACACTTCTTGATGCCCTTTAAGTACGACTTAGGCCGACCTTCTCCCATTTGGTGCCCTTTGGACATATGAGGATTTTACTCCCATAAGGGCAGTATTGGCTACTGACGGTGGGAATTGACACACCGATTTAAAGGATAGCAGATTGTCCAGCTGTAACTTGTGCTACTCTTTAGAATCCATACCTAGCAGAGAGGTCTGCGTGGCTCTTTTGAACCCAAGTTAATTGTTCAGTGTGGAGAACCTGTGTGCCAAGAGCACTTTTTTGATAGGGGTATATATACGTGAAGCTCTTATGGCAGCTGGAAACGTCCATATTTAGAGGGAGTTCACCTCTTGATTATTATTATCTCTTTTATTCATTAAACATGAAACTCAGTCAACTGAACATTTAAAAATTATTATTATTGTTATTATTATTATTATTGGTTAATCTTTATTGAGATTCACAGCTTTGAGGCTGGTTAATAGCTCAGCAGCTCGAGTCCTAACCAAGGACCTAGGAACTGTTAAGGTATCATTGGAGGATGTAAGCTGTTCTGAGTAAGGTAGTTTTTTGTAGAGTCAAAATGTTCAAGTCCGGCAAATTATTATTATTGTTGTTGTTGTTGTTTGTTTGTTTGTTTGTTTATTTATTTATTTATTTATTGCATTTATATTGCCGCCTATTCGTCCATGGGGACTCAAGGCGGTTTACACATTATAAAACCAGTTAAAACAGTAAAACTAATTTTTAAAAAATCAAATAAATTAATGTAATAAAATCACCCCCCACCTCCCGCCCAAGCGACAGCAGATTACACGAGCCATTTAATGGACTCCATCTCGCTCTGGGTTCCCCAGGCCCGCTGGCAGAACCAGGTGTTCAGCGCCTTCCGGAAGAGTGTTAGAGTGTGGGCCATTCTAATCTCTGGGGGGATGAAGTTCCAGAGAGAGGGAGCCACCACGGAGGAGGCCCTTCTTCTGGATCCCACCAGATGTATCTCCCTCAGGGATGAGACCCGCAGCATTCCCTGCCTCTCTGCTACTGATGCCAGTTGTTGAGTAGCAACGGCAGAAGGTAGCTTTCTTTTTGTCATCCTTATCCAGAATTTTTGAATTAAAAAATTGTATCAGCTCTGGTACAAGGAAGCACTCACTATGGAAAGCAAAACAGGCCAATTGTACTTCTTGTCCTTTCATAATTTCACTCTCTGACAATGTGCCTGAAATTGAAATGAAAGTCATTTTGTGAAATGGTAAAAGCGCTGGCTAAAAAACAAGATCCAGTAGAACCTCTGGTCACGACCATAATTTGTTCCATAATTTTGGTCGCAAACCGATTTGGTCGTGACCTGAACCTAATTTTGGAAATTTGCCGCTTACAAAAAAAAAAAAAAAAATGGCACGGAAATCGGCCGCGAAAAAAACATTTGTGAATTTTTTAGTTAGAACTCAATTTGGCCGTGGTCAGAAGCATTTGTGACCAGAGGTTCTATTGAACCATGAGTTCTAGTTCTGCCTTAGGCATGAAAGCCAGCTGGGTGACTTTAGGCCAATCACCAGGAGAGTTTGAGTTCTAGTCCCGCCTTAGGCATGAAAGCTGAGTAACTGGTCCAATCACCAGGACAGTTTGAGTTCTAGTCCCACTTTAGGCATGAAAGCCGATTGGGTAACTTTAGGCCAATCACCAGGAGACTGTCAGTTCTAGTCCTGCCTTAGGCATGAAAGCTGGCTGGGTGACTTCGGGCCAGCCCCCTGTCTCAGCCAACCCACCTCACAGGATTGTCATCGTGTGGAAAATGGGAAGAAGCAGGATTTATAATGTATATTGAATAATTTGTAAAGTAATAAAGATGGGATAAAAATAACGATGCTCGGTCTCTTTCCTTGTCTTCTCTCGGTTTCTGAAGCTCCTGAAAAGTGCACCCTCATCCAACAGCAGCCTACATTTCGCTCAACGCCAGGAGTGCGTCAATCACTTTGCTGCCTGGTTTGGCTACATGCCTCTGGTGCATTCGCAGTTCCGCTTGGACCCAGTGCTTTTCAAGGATCAGGTATCTGTGCTACGGAAAAAATACCGGCAACTGGAGAGGGACTAATTCTGGGGAGAAAGCCCACTGCTGCTCTCTGGGAAGGCGCTTGGAGAAGAAGCCACCAGCCATGCTGGACTCACTGCTTGCTCTAGGCCATTGGCGCTATTGCCGGATTTTGGGTTGGGTTCACTGCATTGATTCCCTTTGAACTTTGGATACTAAAAAGAGGAAGTTGTCACTGGTAGCCAGGATGGTGCCAGATGAATGTTCAGTCTTTATTGGGTTTTACCAGTATCAATAAAGTTTTGCAGAAAACAACTGTTTCTTGAATGCCTTCAAGTAGCCATCTCTTTTCAGATCAAGAGACAGAAATGCTGGCTTTGGTGTTTTGACACGGATGGGGAACATCGGTTCAAAATCTGTGGGGCCTGTTAAGGATATTGTTGTGTTAACCAACCAGCAGAGCGTAGAGCACAGGAAAACGGTGCTGAATAAAATACATACAAACTGGTTTATCAAAGTTGTTACTTTGTAGTGAAAAACAATCTCATAGTCTTTAATCAATCCAAGTCTTAGCCATTCAAATCAGTCCAGTGATACAAAAATCTTCTTACCATACAAAACAGCAGTAGATAATAAATAGCAGCGCATTCACGCTGGTAACAGATCACGATGGTAGCATATCCACCCACGATGATAGCATCTCCACACACGATGGTAGCATATCCATCCACGATGGTAGCATATCCACAGTGACTACATTTCAGCTCCCTTCTTAAATACACTTACAACAGAGCTTATCCAATCAGGATACAATGACTCAGCATTACAATGACTCAGCATTACAATGACTCAGCAGTACTTCTTAAAGTCATAGAATACATATTCATTTTAAAGTCATAGAACACATATATTGTCCATATATTGCCTGGACAACCTGTTAGGCATACACCATATCCTAACAGGGCCTAATCTATATTGGCTTCTCCTGACCATTAGCTAGAATTGTAGGTTGCGAAATCAGACAAAGGGTGTATTTTCAAGTTGATTGTTGTTTCCCTGCTTCTCAGCAGAGGCAGACTGTTTTTTTTTAAAAAAAGAATAAAACATGATGTCTTTGGGGAAGATGAAACAATCTGAACATGCTGAAATCATGGTGTCCTCAGGCTAATTTTTTCTCCAATAGTTGACTAATGCAGGGAGGAAAATCTTTCTTAATAGCCATGCCACTTTGTTCTAAGGCAGTACCAGAAAGTAGAACAAGACGTAACAGATGGAAACTGGTTAAAGAGAGATCCAACCTAGAAATAAGGAAGAATTTTCTGACAGTGAGGACAGTTAGTTAACGGAACACTGTGCATCCCAGAGTTGTGGGTGCTCCATCGCTGAAGGCTTTCAAAAGTAGACTGGACAACCATTTGACTGGGGTGGTTCTCCTGCCTTGAGCAGGGGGTTGGACTAGAAGACCTCTAAGGTCCCTCCCAGCTCTATAATTCTATGTTTTATGAACAGGTGAGAGCATTTAAGCCAATTTCTCCTTGTTGGACTTCTCTTAAAAGCAAGGTGTTTTAAGCAAAGGATTTATTTCTGACAATGAGCAAAGCAGGGAGGTTCGTGATCAAAGACAACATCCTTCTGGTTTGTAAACACTACTGGCCTATGGGGCAGAACTGTTAATTCCCTGAAAAGTTTGGGCAGATTGGGGTCCATTAGCAAAAGGGAGCATACCAATTGCAACATGTTTTAACCAAGGTGTCAAAATGCATTACTGTACTGTATACTAGCCCCTATCTTTGGCAGCTGAACCGATTAATTTCTGGGTCAATTATGGTGCAAGGAAATTTTTTTTGCTGTGTATGCAGTTTTGCAGCAGAAACACAAAGCTTAAAGGGGACATTTTCTCACTGGAGGAACTCATATGTCTTGTTCCACCTTCTCAGCTGTGCCCCCAAATCCCCTTCCTCTTCTACAGCTTAAAGTGCTCTAATGCCATGCTATTCTTCCAATGTTTTCTCCAAACAAGAGAGCAGAGAGGTGGCATTGCCATCCTCCTTGGCAGTTTGATACTGTTTAAAAAAAAGTGATGAATTAAACAGGAGGAGGAAAAAGCAAGTTGCTTGGCTGGCTCTCACTTTTGGCATTTCTATTGTTGCTCACTGGAAATGCTTTCCGGGACTCTTCAGTTGGTTCTCTGCCTGATGAGGATTATGCAGATTTTTGGAACCGATTCTGAAGGATTTAGGAATCAATAGAAGAGAATATTTGTAGCTCAAGGTTAAACTGTTGAGTTCTTGGTTTTCTCTGAGCTTTGGTAATTTTCTTGCAGACTTTTCATTACCCAACTAGGTAACGTAATCAGTGCATTATAGATATTACTTAGTTGGGTGAAGCAACATCTGTAAGAAAACTTACCTTCCCAAGCCTCCTTTTGGCCCGTACTGCGTATGTGCACACGCAGTGTGTACTTGGCACACAACGCACATGCGTGGCCTGCAAACTGCTAGCAAACCGGTTCAGATTTCACCACTGGGGTGAACCAGTTGTTACAGTATGTGACGCTGATTTCTCAGCCAACCTCAGAAAGCACCAAGGATTCCATGGTTTGAGGAATGAAAATGGGCTGCATGGAAGTGCCAGGAGTTACCGATGTGGTTGAGGTTTTCCCAACGTGGAAAGGAAAAAAAGAGATGAGAAAGGAGGTTAAAGGATACATTGCTATAATATCTGCTGAAAGATGAGTGAGGCTAATGTTCGTATTTTTGCTTTGGGGAAGGATTTGGTTACAATTTCTTTGGCAAAAATATATGGGAATGAAGCCAAAGGGAGACCTAATTCCTTGATTTCCTTTCCTGATGGGGCTGACACAGTTGCTCTAAAAGGTTTCCCACATCTGAATCAGAGGTGGGTTTCAGCAGGTTCTGACCAGTTCTGGAGAACCGATAGCGGAAATTTTGAGTAGTTCGGAGAACCGGTAGTAAAAATTGTGACTGGCCCCGCCCCCATCTATTCTCTGCCTCCCAATCCCAGCTGATCAGGAGGAAATGGGGATTTTGCAGTAACCTTCCCCTAGAGTGGGGTGAGAATGGAGATTTTACAGTAACCTTCCCGTGCCATGCCCACCAAGCCATGCCCACAGAACCGGTAGTAAAAAAAATTAGAAACCCACCACTGATCTGAATGGCTGATTAACAGAAGTCAATGACGCCACAATTCGGTGTCAAGCCAAGGAAGACTCGGGAAGCGATAAAGAGAATATCAGTCAAACCACCCTTCTCATCTGGAAAGTACCATGTTGTAGGTGAGGATCCACATCTCGTTGCTTTCATATCATGATTTACAACTAGCCTTTTCCAATATGGTATCTTCCAGGGTTTTAACCACAGCTCCTGAATTCCAAGGAGCCCGGGAGAATGCCTACAAATGGAACTTAATAAAAGAAAACATTGTTTTTATCCCTGATCTCTAGCAAACCAATGTTTAGCTCCAGAAAGCTGGGTATATAACTACCGTGTTTCTCCAAAAAGTCAACCCACCTTGAAAAGAAGCCTTATCGCGTTTTTGAGAGCATGTGATCAAATTAAGCCCCACCCACAAAATTAGCCCTAATTAAAGCCCCGCCCACCCCGGGGTGCAGGGAGTGGGGCGAGGCACACAGGTAAAAAATAAGCTAGTATGGGGATGAGGGGGGTGGAGCTGCCCTACTTGCCAGGCCTCGCACACCCTGACACCTGCCTCGCTGCCTTCTGCGGCCGCTTGCCGCCACTTGCACGCATTGTCCTGGCCTCTGTTTCGCTTTCAGATGCCTGCCAGAAGCTTTGCTGGCTGAGGAATTCTGGGAGTTGAAGTCCACAAGTCTTAAAAGTTGCCAAGGTTGGAGACCCCTACTCTAGAGCAGGGGTGTCAAACTCATATCGTCACGGCAGTGTCCCGTGACTTATTGGGACTTCCTCCCCCCCTTCGTTAAACTAGGCATGGGCGATGTGTGACGCATCTGGCCTGTGGGCCCGGAGTTTGACAGCCCTACTCTAAACTGATGACCTGCTTGACCTCTCCCCTGGTCATCTCCTACGGTACATAGTGTGCCTTTCAAATGCGTGCCGAGTGGATTTATTTTTGAGGATCTGTTGGTGCCTTTGCAATTTTTGAAGTACACGACAAAGTGGCAACTGGAGAGATGTAACCCACTGTAAAAGAGGCATTTGCCATAAATACATAAATGGAATGAATGAAGCTGGTGAGATTCTTCCTTGCGGCCTAGGTTTTGTTTCGTTGTTCCCTTTACATGTGGGAACATTTCCAGGAAGCTCTGTGCCGCATTCACCCAAGTGTTTATTTTCTTAGAATGCTTATGGGATCTATGTGGGTCCCATAGGTACATTAGAAATAAAAATAATGTTGCCGGCTGATATTTAGCTTTGAGGCACATCAGCTTCCCCTTTATTATTATGTTTCAATAAATACTATTTAGGGGGGAAAAATACAACATGGAGTCTAGTGGGTCAGGAAATAGAAGAGATGCCAAAAAAAAAAAAGATATTTGCAGGCACATTCCTGCCTCTAAAACATCACATTGTCAACTTCATAAATTTCTTTTGGCCAATAAGCCAATATCTATTATCTCGGAATTGAACTGATCTTTTCCAGGACCTCACAGGCCCAGACAGATGGGAAATTACCAGTTCAAATTGCACACAATAATTTGAGCAAACCGAATGCCAATCTATAGTTCCCCCCTTTTTTAAAATAATGGTTTGCCATGCATCCTTTTTAAAGGGGTTGCAGCACATAAGGCTTTTAATGGAACGGCACCATCTCACAATATCATGCAATTTAACCGACAATTTCAATTCTCTTAAGATCTGCATCTAACTGGATAGTCAATAATTTAATCACTGGGTTCTCGGCTTTTTGAAGCCTTTCAGTATTTTTGTGGGTCTCGTAAAATGGCCACCAATTTACCACTTCTGCTTACTCATGTGATTTTCTTAATAGGGGCCTCTTATTTCGGGTTTTGCCTTACTTTTCCAGATTTGAAAATTGCCCTTGGCTCCTAGACATTGTACAACTTTCATCATAAATCATATGATTCTTAAATGTTAAAATAAAATTGGATAATCAAACCAAGTTAAAAAGGTTTTCTTTCATTGGTATCGTGCCCATTTCCTTCCCTCCCCCCAAGGATCTTGGGCAGAATGCAGAATTATCTCAATTTATACTTAGAACCAGTGGTGAAATCCACTTTTTTTTACTACTGGTTCTATGGGTGTGGCTTGGTGGGCATGGCAGGGGAATGATATTGCAAAATCTCCATTCCCACC